TTGCCGCTTGCAGCCACGCCTTGGACTACCGCAAAAGCTGGCTTTTTGTGTCCAACTTTTCGGATCTGCGGTCTCTCGCGTCTGTGTGCCAGCATCCTCCCGGCTCTCATGCGACCACGTCTGGACGCCGGACTGCCTCCGGTGCTTTCCTCACACGGGATACCGCCTGTTATCCCTCGTCACTGTGCTCTGCGCTTGCTGACTTTTTCAAGCCGTTGCTCTCGTCACACACCGGCGAGATCCCTTTTCGTTCCTGGCAGTCGCTTCTTCCTGCTACACTTTTCTGGCCCATTCCGGCGAATCGTGTGGAAGATGGCTGTCGGACCCAGAATTGGCCCCGTTCCTCGAGGACCTTCGTTCCTTCCTTCGGCTGTCCGCCCCGGATTTTAACACGCTTTTGTCCATCCCGCCGGGACAACCTTTCCGCCTCTTTCTGTTGGAAGCGCTTTTGTCTGTTTTCAAAGATCCGGACACCTCCTTTGTGGACTTGCTCACTGAGGGCGTCCCCCTGGGCGTTGATTCACAGATGCCTTCCTGTCCGACCCTTTTTCCCCCGGCCGGACAGTCCGCTCCCACTATTATGGACTTGACACATTGCTCCTCTTCTTGGGGCTCCGCTTTGTCGGACCAAGCATCCGTGGATAGCCTTCTCTCCGAAGAGATTTCAGAAGGGTGGGTGCGTGAGATTCCCGGTGGACTGGATGAGCTTACAGCCCGTTACCAGCAGACTGCTGTTGGGAAGCTGGGCTTGGTGAAATCCCCCGGCCGGCCGGATCGACTGGTCGTCGATAGCAGTGTTTCCGGTGTGACCGAACACACATCACTTCCCAACAAGTCCGCAAATCCGTCCATCTCCGGTCTTCGCCAGTGCCTTCCGCCGGAGCACGCCATAGAATGGCTCATCGCGTTAATTCTGGACGTCAGCAAAGCCCACCGCCGGATCAAAATCCGTGACTCCGACCGTGGCCTTTTGTGTTTCTTTCACCGGAACCGGCTGTACCAATGCTTAACGCTTAACTTTGGCGCACGCGCCTCCGGCTTCTACTGGTCCCGGATGGCCGGCTTACTGACCCGTCTACTTCACCGCCTGGTCTTTGTCAAGCATTGCCTGCTGATATATGTTGACGATTTGATTGCTCTGCTTTCCGGCCCGTCCGGCCCGGTGTGGGCAGCACTGATGTGCATCATGTTGCTCATTCTCCGCGTTCCGATGAGCTGGCACAAGGCCTACTTGGGCCCCCGGCCAACGTGGATTGGCTGGTCTATCTGCCTCCACTCCCTTTCTGCCACCATGGAAGCTCCTAAGCTTGACCGGTTGCGGGACCTCCTGGCCAAAATCCGGGGGTCAGATTCCGTCCCACTCCATCTTCTCCGCAAGCTCACCGGCAAGCTCCTGTGGGTCTGCTCCCTGTTTCGACCTTTCCGTCCCAGTTTGGCTCCCCTGTATTCCGACCAGGGCAAGCCTCCTGTGGTACATGTTGCTCTGAGTCCGGCGAAATGGGCTTCGTTCCGCTCCAAGCTTGACTCACACCTTGTTCTGCAGTCTGACGTGGGTCTCGCATCCTGTCCGAAGTTATGCACACTGATTTCTGTCTCGGGTCGTGAGGTATCCTCACTTTCCCAAGTCCCGGTGTCCTTTCCTGGCGAACGCCGCACCTGGATTTCCGTGCGTATGCCACCTGAATCCGACCGGAAGCTTTCCAAGGAATCCTTGGCGGTGCTGGACATGTGGCACGCTTGCCTCGCCGATGCTGCCCCTACGTTCCCGCTGCCCCTGGCTCGTGAATTCCCCTGCCAGGCTTTCGCGGACGCCTGCGCCGATGCACAGCATGCCGGCATCGGTGGTTTCGTCACGCTTCCTTCCGGTAAGACTGCCTGGTTTCAACACCGGTTTTCCGCTTCGGAGCTCACTGCCCTACTCCCGTGGTTCCCGGTTGGCACTTCTCCGCAAGCCTGCATTGCTGCTTGGGAACTTCTCGGACAGATCGCTCTCCTTTGGGTGATTGGTCTCCTGATTCCGGTTTCCCTTCACCCCATCCACGTTGTCACCCGCTGTGATAATTCCCCTTCCGACTCTGCTTCGTGGAAAGGACTCTCCACTGCCCGGGGAATTTGCTCGCTCCTTCCGGCCTACTTTGCCTGGCAGCGTGCATTTTGCATCTCTACTTATATTGACCATGTTCCGGGTTTCCAGAACACTGTTGCCGATGGTCTTAGCCGAGGTGCTGACCCGACCACCTTTGGACTCCGACCTTGTGACCGGGTGGATATTCCGTGGGCTCTCATCTCTCGGCCTCCTCGGCCTTCATACCATCCGACGAGTGCCCTGAACCTGTCCCTTTTTCCGGCTATGGACTTCTAAATGTGGCTGGGTTTCCCCCGGTTCGGGTAGTCCCCACCTCAAGGGACTAACTAGTTTGGCCGTTAACCCAGCTGCCTTCTTCTCCGGTCCCGGGACTATCCTCTGGATCTGCCCGGGCACCGAATATACATTCCGTAGCTCGTCCGGTTGCCCGGTTCCGGAAGATCCGAGGGCCGGGCCACAGACCGAGCTGCTTGAGCCAACCGTGAAAAAGGTGATGCATCCGTGAAGTCCGCACTTCATGTTATTCCGTACCGCAGAGACGTAACGGACTAGTGCTTCCGGATAAACGGGGATTCGAATGTTCGTGATTTGTTTATTCCGGAAGCATCGCAACGGCAAGTCGTACCGCAGCCGTTCGACTTAAGCTGCCCGTCCGTGCCACCTCAGCCGGTACGGTTCAGCTAGTGAAAGTTTCCCGCCACCGTCCCCTTATCACCTCCGTTTGGTGGTCCATCCATACTTTCTGGACTTTCTGTGTTTTTCAGCTGGATTTCCGTCTGCACTTCCGTAGGCCGTTAACCCAGCTGCCTTCTTCTCCGGTCCCGGGACTATCCTCTGGATCTGCCCGGGCACCGAATATACATTCCGTAGCTCGTCCGGTTGCCCGGTTCCGGAAGATCCGAGGGCCGGGCCACAGACCGAGCTGCTTGAGCCAACCGTGAAAAAGGTGATGCATCCGTGAAGTCCGCACTTCATGTTATTCCGTACCGCAGAGACGTAACGGACTAGTGCTTCCGGATAAACAACTGGGTTTTCCTCTCGTCTTGTAACGTGTTTGAAGCTAGCCCCTTTGTTTTGGTCGTTTCATTTTGCCACACTGGAAGTTAAGGATGCCGGTGTGATGCAGATGATGATGATGATGATGATGATGATGCTGTTGTTTTCTTGTTGCTACTATTTGTTTGTGCTAACGGATCGTTAACTGTCGTGCGTTGTCGTGCATTTCTGAGGATTCGGACTTGTCTTCGGGAGGTGGGGTGGGGTGGGGGTGGGGGGCGGGTTAATAACGTCCGTGCTGCATGAGCCTGGGCCAAAGTTGATCCGATGCAGTTTGCGCGACAGAAAATTCACCAAACCTCCTCAATCAATACGAATTCCCAATTTTTTTTCTGATTCCAATCTATCCGATTTTCCAATCAAATCAGAGGAATCTCGCAAATCTGACGATGCGTTTTCCTGCAATAGAGCTACACATCTCACGAAGATGATCCGATGCAGTTGTCGCGTCAAAAGTTCACCAATCCTCCTCAATCAATACGAAATCTCCATGTTTTCATCTTGATTCCAATCTATCCTATCTTCTGCTCAACTCAGATAAATCCCGCAAATCTGACGAACTTCATCCGATGCGTTTTCCTGCGATAGGCCCATCTCACGAAGATGATCCGATGCAGCTGTCGCGACAAAAAACCACCAATCCTCCTCAATCAATACGAATTCCCAATGTTTTCATCCTGATTCCAATCTATCCTATTCCCCACTCAACTCAGATGAATCTGTCAAATCTGACGAAGTTCATCCGATGCGTTTTCCTGCGATAGGCACATCGCGCGAAGATGGTTGTTTGTGTAATAGTAGTAGTAGCAGTAGTAGTAGTAGTAGTAGTAGTAGTGGTAGTAGTTAGTAGTAGTAGTAGTAGTAGTAGTAGTAGTAGTAGTAGTAGTAGTAGTAGTACTAGTAGTAGTAGTAGTAGTAGTAGTAGTAGTAGTAGTAGTAGTAGTAGTAGTAGTAGTAGTAGTAGTAGTAGCAGTAGTGCAGTAGCAGTAGCAGCAGTAGCAGCAGCAGCAGCAGCCAGCAGTGGCAGTGGCAGTAGCAGTAGCAGTAGCAGTAGCAGTAGGAGTAGGAGTAGGAGTAGGAGTAGGAGTAGGAGGAGTGGAGTAGGAGTAGGAGTAGGAGCAGCAGCAGCAGCAGCAGCAGCAGCAGCAGCAGCAGCAGCAGCAGTGGCAGTGGCAGTGGCAGTGGCAGTGGCAGTGGCAGTGGCAGTGGCAGTGGCAGTGGCAGTGGCAGTGGCAGTGGCAGTGAGTGGCAGTGGCAGTGGCAGTGGCAGTGGCAGTGGCAGTGGCAGTGGCAGTGGCAGTGGCAGTGGCAGTGGCAGTGGCAGTGGCAGTGGCAGTGGCAGCAGTAGTAGAAGTAGCAGTAGTAGTAGTAGCAGTAGCAGTAGCAGTAAGAGTAGTAGGAGTGGGAGTGGGAGTAGGAGTAGGAGTGAGAGCGGGAGTGGGAGTGGGAGTGAGGGTGGTAATGGTAGTGTAGTTGTAGCAGAAGGATGGTGGTAGTGGTAGTGGTAGTTGTAGCAGAATGATAGTGGTAGTTGGAGTGGTAATGGTGGCGGTAGGGGTTGTGGTAGCGGCAGCGTTCGCGGCAGTGGTAGTGGTACTGGATTCGGTACTGGTACCTTCTGCTGGTGGTAGTCTTCGTGCTGGTACTGGTGCTGATACTTCTAGCGGTAGTGGCTGTGGTGGGCATAATTTATTGTTACTGTTATTGTCATTATTATGTTAGTTGTTGTTGGACGACTACAGGGCGTGTAGGGCGTACACTCCTTCTCGCCCCTGTTTTCGGCTTGTCTAAGAACCGTTTGATGGGAGACCGTTTCGGTCATTCACGTTTCTATCCTGTCTTTAGCTTTGCATCCCAGGACTATCAGGGAGGCGCCCTGGTCGTCGGCACCGAGGAGTCCTCGCGTGGCCTGGGCGACGCGGTGACATGGCCTGGCTTTGAAATTTACAATGGCTCCAACACACAGGGACATTGAGCGACGGGTGCAGATGTGCTTCGATGTCTCAGGTGACATTTCCCTCCTACATGGCTCACTGTGTTCTCCCGGTCTCCAAGGGAGTCAGGCTTGGGCTTTCATGACAACACGTACACTGCGAGACGTCTCATGTCGTCTTGCGTGTGGTGCACGCTGCATTTGTGTGATCATCCCGTGGGGTTTTCGGCCAGGCACGCTCTGGTGGCCTGGGTGCGTGGCCGGGTGAACAGCGACCTGGCAGATGCTGCACAAGCTGCCCACCGACACGCCATCGCCAGCCGGCTCAGAGCGAAGCATTCGTGCCATTGCAACTGAACAAAACCTGAACAACAGGTTGGACGATTTGAGCCAATATCCGCGGGAAGGCAAAATTTCGTACAGTGTCACTGGTAAGATCTGGTAAGCCTCCCAGTTCGCTTGGGAGCTTTTGAAGCATGACTTTGGTAAGGTTGTGCTAGAGGATCGAGACTACATGCCAAGTTCTGGCCAAGTTCATCGGCTCTCCCTATCATGCTCGCATGGCCAAAGCCTTTCCGTAAGTTACTCAGCAATCAACCAAATGTGGGGCCACACAAGTTGGGGTCAGCACACCGAAAGTCGGCAGGTTGAAGTCATTGCTACTCGACCGTGCATCTCTAGGACAGCGCTCCCTGCGCTGGAAGCTTTGAGTCGTCTTGAAAATGAGAGAAAACGCTTTTTGGGAGTCCGACAAAGCACCTGCATGCCGGCAGCTGCAGAAACAGCCGTAGCCGTTTTGGTGGTTTCCAAGCCTCGAGCAACAGATTTCACAGAAGAAAAGCAATGTGTTCATACCCTTGCCGCACTTTCTTGCGAAGCCTCTCCAATCATTTAGCAGCCAATCTTGGCTCCTTGTTTGTGGAAACGGTTGGTGGTCCTTGACGTGCAGTTCTTTACTGTTTGTCTCCACTCGAAGAGCACACCCCACCTACCACAGAAGAAACGGAAACATGTTCAATCCGCCACCATCAGCAAGTTTGCAGGCCACTGTCTGCTGCGGGCTTTGCCACATAAGCGCTGGTCTTGTCCGGAACCAGCAAACATACGTTCCACACCTGCTGCGAGCTTGTTCGGAGTCTTACCGGTCTTTTTAGCTCAGCGCCAAACCTCTCAGGCCGATGGCTCCAAGTCGGTACAGAAGACCGAGCGACCTGCGAAGCGTGCTCAACTGGTGCCGGGTCTGAATCAACTTCGAGAGCATTGCTTCGGGCTTTAGGTGGATTTGGGCCCGGACGGCCGGACGGACCTAGACCTAGACTCAAATTCCCTTCGTCAGGCTCAGGCAGCTCTGGGCTTGCAGCGCATCTACGGCAACCACCTACTGCACATTGGCCGGCACCGGGAGGCGGCCGATATGCTGCGTGCCGTGGCGCAGCAGGCTGGGGGGTTCGACGTGGCTTCGATACCAGCCCTGGGGTTTGGTGAGACGCTGTCGTTCTGCGATCCAGGATCCTTACAGCCCCGGTGCTTTGAACAACCTGGCAGTGGCAGAGTACCAGCAAGGAAAACTGCATGCGGCAATTGCACCTGGGCCGAGAACATTTGGTCATGTTCTTTGCAGGTTTGCAGCATGCAATAATGAAACTATTGTCGAGGATGCCCTCCTGTATGCCGTGAGTCTGCGTCCGAACGATGGTGCCCATGCGGCAAGGAGAGCACCAGTGGACCAGTCCGTGTCTTGTTGACCGGCGCGAGGCGAAGTGAGAGCAAATCTGGGACGGTTCTTTTTCATGGACGGCCGCCTTCCATTGGGGACGTATCACCTGGCCACGGCCGTGACTCTTTGGCACCGTTCGGTGCCTGAGCTTGAAGATAGGTCTGGAGACCTTGCGATGGGAGAAGTTGGCATGTGCTTGACCCGGTGCCTCGACATGACTGTCGGTGGCTCAGGCAATAATGCTGTTCCTCTTCTGTATGACGGCGTACTGAACCTCGGCCGCACTGGTGTCATAGCGAGCGTGTTGCTGTTGTTGCAGCATGATTCATGGTGGTCGCTGACAAATACTTAGGTAGCGTGTGTTTTCGGCTCAGTTGCTTGTGACGATGCCATGTCAAATGTGACAAGTGGATGCTGCCCGCTGTCACAGAGAGGAGAGAGAGAGAGGGAGAGAGAGAGAGAGGCAGTGCATTTTGGTGCTGCTGCCTGACTGCGCTCGGCTGGCCAAAGCCACGATCCTGCGACGACACGGAGGAGGCAGATGAGATGGGGCCAACAGCTCTCTACAAGCCCTGTCTTTTGTGACACAAGCCGAGACCGTGCTGCCCTGGTAAGTGTAGTGCAAGGCATCCACAGACGCGGACGCATCGGAGGACCATGAGCTTGCGACTGCAAATGTGCAGGAAAGAAAAGTTTCTGTGTCAATGCTGGGGTATTCTCCGTCCGATAAAATACTGTAGCGGTGCTTTCTTTTGGAAAGGGCTGTGCCAGGCAGACTGGGCAGGAGCGAGCTCTGCGCTAAGCCACATGGAGTCTTATCAGCTTGATTCCACAGACGCAAGTTTCCCAGGTACGGGTATTCCCAAGGTCCCAGGCACCAGGCACTGTCATTCTTCGAGGCTGTGAAAGCCATAGACATCGGCAACATGAAGAACCCCACCAGGCCTGACTTACCGTGCCCTGTTTCGCGGTTGGTTCCGAGCGTTGCCATAGGTTCCAGCGGGAGATCAATATCGCGCAGAAGCTGGACCATCCCAATGTAGTCAGGCATCAAGGATTTTGACGCCTATTGCGTGTGGATGTGTCGATGATGCCCGGAATACGGATTGCCAGCCGCAGTAGCAGACATCGCTCGTGCTCTAGGCTCTACGAGACGTTCAAGGACGCTCGGAAGGCCAGGTCTCCACGACTTCCTTCCATTACCGGTCAAGTTGCCGAAAGAACGTCAGCCAGCACCTGTTTTATGCCGTGACAGATATACTTGGTCATGGAGCTCTGCACGGGTGGAGAACTCTTCGACCGTATAGTGGACGAGGCTGTGGACAGGGACGATCAGGGCTGTGCTTTCTCCCGTTTTCAAGAGCACATCAGAGCGAATAGGGCGAGCTAAGCTTCTGATTGTTGTCCAGTGCTCCTGAAACAGGGAGTGGAACTGACTGCGCCTGTGCCGGCCGTCGAGAGAGTCACATGCGATAGGCACCAAGCGGGTTTGATGAGGCACATGCAGCAAAGTGCGCCAATCCATCGCTACCCGGTACCCACATAGAGATCCTGCTGCTGATGCTAACAGATGTGCTGAAGTCTTCAGCGAATTTTGCGGACTGTCAGGGGCGGCTGGCACGTGACACTCCTTTGTCTGATCCTTCGAGGTACATACGGCAGATTCTGTCTGCGATTTGCTACCTTCATGCCCACAGGCCAGCCTGTGGTGTGCGCAAATGCTGATTGGAATGGCAGCAGTAGCTCCCTGAACATGTAGAAGAACCATTACTTCAAGGAAAGTGTGATTGGCCTGTCAGTGGCGCATGCTTGGAGACAGAATTGCGTTCGCTTTGCTTGACAATAGTTGTGCAAAATCGGTGTGGTGTTGCAGCCGACCGTGGTGTCCGCTCCATGATTATTGATGAGATCGTTAGGTTCATCTCATCGACGCAGTTTCACTGCGGATGATTAAAAGCTACTCATCGCAAATTCGTGTGTGATGGGCGTGCCATGTCAGCCGGCAAGTAGTTTCTTCCAGCTTGCTTGACAATGGTCGGGTGCAAGCCGTGTGTGTTGAAGACGACCGTGGTGTCCGCTCCATGATTATTGATGAGATCGTTAGGTTCATCTCATCGACGCAGTCTCACTGCGGATGATTAAAGCTACTCATCGCAAATGTGTGTATGATGGGCGTGCCGGGTCAGCCGCCAGGCATTTTCTTGCAGCTTGCTTGACAACGGTTGCGCGCAATCCGTTTGTGTGTTGAAGACGACCGTGGTGTCCGCTCTATGATTATTGATGAGATCGTTAGGTTCATCTCATCGACGCAGTCTCACTGCGGATGCTTAAAGCTACTCATCGCAAATGCGTGTATGATTGGCATACCAGGTCAGGCGCCAAGTAGTTTCTTCCAGCTTGCTTGACAATGGTCGGGTGCAAGCCGTGTGTGTTGAAGACGACCGTGGTGTCCGCTCCATGATTATTGATGAGATCGTTAGGTTCATCTCATCGACGCAGTCTCACTGCGGATGCTTAAAGCTACTCATCGCAAATGCGTGTATGATGGACGTGCCAGGTCAGCCGGCAAGTAGTTCCTTCCAGCTTGCTTGACAATGGCTGTGTGCCAGCTGTGTGTGCTGAAGACGACCGTGGCGTGCGCTCCATGATTATTGATGAGATCGTTAGGTTCATCTCATCGACGCAGTCTCACTGCGGATGCTTAAAGCTACTCATCGCAAATGCGTGTATGATGGGCGTGCCAGGTCAGCCGGCAAGTAGTTTCTTCCAGCTTGCTTGACACTGGCTGTGTGCAATCCGTGTGTGTGTGTGTGTGTGTGTTGAAGACGACCGCGGCGTCCGCTCCATGATTATTGATGAGATCGTTAGGTTCATCTCATCGACGCAGTCTCACTGCGGATGCTTAAAGCTAGTGCCAGGTCAGCCGGCAAGTGCTTTCTGCCAGCTTGCTTGACAATGGCCCTGTGCAAGCCGTGTGTGTTGATGACGGCGTGGTGTCCGCTCCATGATTATTGATGAGATCGTTAGGTTCATCTCATCGACGCAGTCTCACTGCGGATGCTTAAAGCTACTCATCGCAAATGCGTGTATGATGGGCGTGCCATGTCAGCCGGCAAGTAAGCTTTGACAATGGCTGTGTGCCAGCCGTGTGTGTTGAAGACGACCGTGGCGTGCGCTCCATGATTATTGATGAGATCGTTAGGTTCATCTCATCGACGCAGTCTCACTGCGGATGCTTAAAGCTACTCATCGCAAATGCGTGTATGATGGGCGTGCCAGGTCAGCCGGCAAGTAGTTTCTGCCAGCTTGCTTGACAACGGCCGCGTGAAATCCGTGTGTGTGTGTGTGTGTGTGTTGAAGACGACCGTGGCGTCCGCTCCATGATTATTGATGAGATCGTTAGGTTCATCTCATCGACGCAGTCTCACTGCGGATGATTAAAGCTACTCATCGCAAATGCGGGTATGATGGGCGTCCCAGGTCAGCCGCCAAGTAGTTTCTTCCAGCTTGCTTGACAATGGTCGGGTGCAAGCCGTGTGTGTTGAAGACGACCGTGGTGTCCGCTCCATGATTATTGATGAGATCGTTAGGTTCATCTCATCGACGCAGTCTCACTGCGGATGATTAAAGCTACTCATCGCAAATGCGTGTATGATGGGCGTGCCAGGTCAGCCGGCAAGTAGTTTCTTCCAGCTTGCTTGACAATGGCTGTGTGCGAGCCGTGTGTGCTGAAGACGACCGTGGCGTGCGCTCCATGATTATTGATGAGATCGTTAGGTTCATCTCATCGACGCAGTCTCACTGCGGATGCTTAAAGCTACTCATCGCAAATGCGTGTATGATGGGCGTGCCAGGTCAGCCGGCAAGTAGTTTCTTCCAGCTTGCTTGACAATGGCTGTGTGCCAGCTGTGTGTGCTGAAGACGACCGTGGCGTGCGCTCCATGATTATTGATGAGATCGTTAGGTTCATCTCATCGACGCAGTCTCACTGCGGATGCTTAAAGCTACTCATCGCAAATGCGTGTATGATGGACGTGCCAGGTCAGCCGGCAAGTAGTTCCTTCCAGCTTGCTTGACACTGGCTGTGTGCCAGCCGTGTGTGCTGAAGACGACCGTGGCGTGCGCTCCATGATTATTGATGAGATCGTTAGGTTCATCTCATCGACGCAGTCTCACTGCGGATGCTTAAAGCTACTCATCGCAAATGCGTGTATGATGGGCGTGCCAGGTCAGCCGGCAAGTAGTTTCTTCCAGCTTGCTTGACAATGGCTGTGTGCCAGCCGTGTGTGCTGAAGACGACCGTGGCGTGCGCTCCATGATTATTGATGAGATCGTTAGGTTCATCTCATCGACGCAGTCTCACTGCGGATGCTTAAAGCTACTCATCGCAAATGCGTGTATGATGGGCGTGCCAGGTCAGCCACCATTTTGTTTGAACTTGATGCCAACTTGCTGTTCAATTGTTGAATGTTGAGTCTAATGCCCTGCCAGTCAGTGCTTTCGTATTTTTAGAGGGATACGATGGAAACGTGATCTCAGCAGTCTTGGCGTGCAGCACGGGAGGGGAGAAAGGCGTGGCTTGGGTGGGTTTGGGTTCGTTATGCGGTGTTGTTTGGGCGGGTTGAGTGGGGTTGTAGGCTGATGTGGACTTCCTGGTCCAGTCATACGAACTAGTGGCGAGTATGTCCACGTATCGGACAGGTTTATCCTGCGTGCTAGGTGGATGGTAAGTGTTACTCACCCTGCTGATCGGCATCACTGTCGTAAAGCACGATGCATGGTACTATTGTCCTGGTCATCCATACGACCTGCTGCATGCATAGGACACTAGGGCAAGCTCATGCTGATGCAAGCTCATTGGATGGTGGAGGTGCAGCAAATCTCAAGCTGTCCAATTTGCCGACTTCTTCAGAATTGTCAGGTTCGCCCATCGCGACGTGAAGCCGGAGAATTTCCTCTTCCACGATCCTTCTGCAGAGTCCCAGCTCAAGGTGTCTTGTCGAGAATGCGGGGTTGGAGAAATCGCGGGGCCTGGTTGTTCCTGGAAGAATCGACCCTTCAACCCCCGGATCTTCACGTGGTGGGTGAATGACTAACGGGCAATCACGGCGGATATGAGACCGTGGGCTCATGTTGATTGGCCAGGAGCCGCCGCATGCGATTTCCTTCAGCTTGTGCTGTTTCCTGTGCTTCGATTTCTGCTACTGCTGCTGCTACAACAACAACAAGCACCACTAAAACTACTACTACGAGGACGACGACTACTTCGACTACTACGACTACTACGGCGACTACTGCGACTCTGTTACGACTACGAAGACTACTACGACTACTATGAGTACGACGACTACAATGACTACTGCGACTACTACGATTACGACGACTACTCAGACTACTACCACTACTGTGAGTACGGCGACTACTATGGCTACGGCGACTACTACGACTACTACGACTACTACGACTACTACGACTACTACGACTACTACGACTACTAAGACCACTGCGACTGCTACGATTACTGCGACTACTACGAGTACGACGACGACTACGACGACTACTACTACTACTACTACTACTACTACTACTACGGCTTCTACTTAGACTTCGAGTTCTGATTCTGCTTCCGCTTCTACTTCTATTGTGCCACTGCTACTGATACTTCCAGTACTAGTGTTGGTCGCAGTACTAGTAGTTTCTGATTTGGTCAACCGCAACCTGAAGCCCTAAACCCCAAATCCTAAGCCCTAAGCCCAAACTTACCAAACCCAAATCCTAGACCCTAAACCTTGAGCCCCAAACACTAGAAGTTGCTTGTGAGAATGTCTCAGATCATCGACTTTGGCCTGGCTTGCCAGTTTGAGCCCGGGGTGAAGATGAGCACTAAGGCGGGGCTGGTGAGTTTTGATTGTGTGAGGTTTGTGTCTTAGGTTGTTGAGGGCTGGGTTGTTGATGGGGATGCTGGATTTTGTTGCTTTTTTGGTGTTTCGGGCTCGGGGATTCTGGGCTCTGGCACTTCGCAACGGATGCAGGCGGGCACGGCCTACTACGTCGCCCCGGAGGCAGGGTCACGAGTAGAACTTCTATTTAGTTTAGAGGGTCCTGTCTTGCTGCTGCTCCTAGCTGCGCTCGCTGTGTATTAATCAGGGCAGGCTTCGAGGGCCACCGCAGGAAACAGTACGGACTTGCTTAGCTGGGAAGCCGGGAGAGGTCCTCAAAGGAGGCTACGACGAAAAGTGCGCCTGCCTCAGACAGGCTTAGATGCTCATTTCCTAGACGTGACATGCCCTGTGTTAATGGATACGCCAGAAAATCATACAAGCTGGAAATCTTGCCAAATTTGTTACGGCTGTTCAACTTCGGAGCTGACCAACTGCAGCAATACTGCACGACGGTGTCCGTGTAGGATCGTTCTGAGATTTAGGGCGGCTCCCGCGTTGACCTCGTGCTGCAAGGTCGTCGTGCTACAACGAGTGCCGCGTTCCCATGGGCCCTCAAAGTTGCCCCAATGCTGCTGCTGCTGCTGCTGCTGCTGCTGTCACCCGGTTCTGTGTCGGCCCGGCGAAAATCTCCATTGCGGCCGCAATGGGCGACTGCACTCGGAGTACTCGCGCATACGCTCGAGTGTGCTCGAGTACGCTCGAGTACGCTCGAGTACGCTCGAGTACGCTCGAGTACGCCCGAGTACGCTCGAGTACGCTCGAGTACGCTCGAGTACGCTCGAGTACGCTCCACAGTACGCTCGAGTAGGCTCGAGAACGCTCGAGTCAGTGAACATCTCAAGCACGACAACTGCAGCATCTGACTGCTTTCTGCGGCCGTGAATTCGCCCAGTGCTTGGGTCAGTTTTGCACAAATTTCGGCGAACTCTGAAGCACGACCAGTGCAGCACCTGACTGCTGTTTCTGCTGTCGTGAAGTTGCCCGATGCCCGATGCTGCTTGCAAAGTTGGTGTCCGGCTCAGTCTTCCTGTTGGCTTTTGATTGAGGCAGAAAAACCACAGCAAGTTTAGAGTTGTCCATGCGACTTGACATCGCATTGTGCCGCAATGCAATATATGTGACGAACTCAAACATCCATCTTTGACACTCGCCACGAATCGATCCAGGTGATGTGTGGAGTGCTGGGGCCAGTGCACTCAGGACAGATCTGGAGTATCACTGCCGTTGACAAGGGCTTGTCTGTGCACTTAAGGCAATGCATTTGCGGGTTTGGGGCTTGTGCTTTACATCATCTCGTTTCTTTGAGCAGAACTTGAAGTAAAGAGGCAAAGGCACAGCGCTGCAAGATGGTGAGTGACGGGATGATTCGGATCCTCCTGCGGCGTACCTCGGGTTACCTCAGTTATTTCAATATATCTTCCTCGGCATCCTCAGTGCTAAGCACGACACAGTCACAACAGGGCCAACACGAACTGGAGAAGACTCCTGCGATCTCGGTAGCTCGTGCTCTTCTCCCTTTTCGACTCCTAGGCCTTCGTTGTTTTGATGCTCAAGATAATCTTCAAGATAGCACAAGAGCAGGCACAGCGAAGAGATCGAAACTAGATCGAATGAACCGTCGAGGTCATCTCCTTTGTTCTCCTCTGCGGCTTTCCGCCCTTTGCAGGCCAGAGAAGTTCGCGATTTACTGCCGTGGTCATAGCTACACCCTGTACAGATTGTAATAGCGCTGCCCGGACACATTGCAAATCTTTCGGGTTGCTTCGACTTGGATTGGGCACAGTCTTCCAGGTGACAAAGATCCGGAGATCCTAAAGAAGGCCGGCTGACAATGAGAGCTGATGAAAGCTCTCTGATGGCCTTTTGGTGTCGAGTCCTTCCCTGCCAGGTGAAGACGGGAACCTTCGAGTTTCGCTCGCCTGAGTGGGATCCAATCTCTCAAGGCAAGTCCTGGTGATGTCAGCGAGGCATGCGGCCAGGATGGCGGAGGCCGCAGCATGTGCTTCGTCTCCACTGGCTCAGGGATTTTCGCTGTACTGTAAGGGCTGTGGGCCTTCCCTTGCTTGATGGCTGCAGAAATTGGGGGCATTCATGGGAACTGCCAGAGGCCTGAGTGGGTTAGGATGCTGCAAGCATTGCAGCAGTTCTGGATTTCCTCGTCCATCACGCTGCGGTCCTGCTTCGTATCTATTGATGCATGCGCTAAAGAGCACCGGTGGCAGAGAGCGGTTTCACTGGCAGACGAAGCCCGTCGCCAGAATCTTGAAACGAGAGTCATCCAGTACAATGCCACGATGAATGCATGCGCCAAAGGCGGCGCATGGAAGCAAGGTGTTTCATTCTTCGCCAATGCTGCAGAGAGGGGTCTCCAGCTGACTTCGGTCACTTTCGGCACGCGTGCATCGGCCTTTTCGAAGGGTAATCAGTGGCAATTAGCCTGCCACATGCTTCGATCAGTGTTTGGCAACAACGTTCCTCCGGGCAAAAACCGCTTCATGCAAAGTGCTGCGCAGACTGCATGTGCAAGTGAAGCACAGTGGCATGCGGCAGTGCTGCTTCTGGGTGAGGCACGTTATGAAGAACTTGAGCCCAGTATTGTCCTGTACAACTTGGCGGCTAGTGCATGTCAGAGTGGCAGCCAGTGGAAATTGGCTTGTGCGTTTGTGGGACGTTTGACAGGAAAGCATCGTGCGAGTGCGAATTCTTTCACGTATAGTGTCGCTATCAGCCTTTGTGAAGATGGGCAGTGGCAGCTTGCCTTAGCACTCGTTGCGGAAGCCGAGAGCCAGGGAATTCGGATAGACATTGTCACTTGCAATGCAGCCATCAGTGCATGCGAGAAGGGCCAGCAATGGCAACATGCGATTTCGCTTTTGTCTTATGCTTTGACCAAAAAGATGCAGGCAACCGCGATTTCATGCAATGCTGCGATCAGTGCATGCGAGAAGGCCAAGGAATGGCAGGTTGCCCTCCAGCTCCTCCTGCAAGGATTAGAGGCATCACTGGAGCCTACCATCGTTTCCTACAATGCTACGATGAGCGCCTGCGAGAAGGGAGGGCAGTGGCAGCTTTCTTTGGAGCTACTTGAGCAGGTTGCCGCTTGCAGGATGGAGCCTACCATTGTGTCCTACAACGCTGCCATCAGCGCCTGTGACAAAGGCGACCAGTGGCAGTTAGCAGCCTTCTTGCTTGGGCAGTCTGAGGAGCATACCCTGGAAGCCGACGTAATCTCTTTCAATGCGACCATCAGCGCTTGTGCAAAAGCAGGGCACTGGCAGGAGGCATTAGCTCTCCTGGATGTCGCTGTTCGCCGGAGGCTCGGCACCACCATCGTGACTTTCAACTCAGCTCTGACTGCTCTGGAGAAAGGTGGGCAATGGCTTCTGGCATTGGGGCTCTTTGAGGGACTGGGAGTGCTTCGGGTGCAATCAGATGTGATCTCCTGCAATGCTTTGATCAGTGCCTGTAGCGAGAGCTGGCAGAGATCACTGGGCCTTACGAGCGACATGCAGCATCTTTCATTGAAGGGGACGCCCATCACCTACGGCGCAGCCATAAGTGCCTGTGTGAGGGCTGAGCACAAAAGAGCACAAGTCCAACCGGGCTAATCTTTTTTGGCACCTGGAATTCAGTTCTTGAAGCCTGGAATCCAAAAAGATGCTGGCTTGGTGCACTGGATCCTCATTTCAGGTGGAACTCGATGCAGTGCACCTTCTGCCAGGGGCGAAGAACCTCATAACGCAGATGCTGACCTTTGATCCTTCCATCCGGCCAACTGCCGAAGCTGTAAGCTCAGTGCACAACATTGGTGGTACTGTGGAAGTAGGTCTGGACCGTTTGACAATGAGGTCGTGTTGCTCAGTCCGTGGCTCAAGTTCAAGGCCCTTCAAGTTTTCGGTTGAAGCCTGCCGGTAGGACTCTCCGCGTGTCCGCATGTGCAAGGATTTAGACTTAGACCAACGGGCAAGTTTGCAAGCTGTCGCACTTTGGCAGGGCACGCCGAAGCCGGCCCCTCTGAGCAAAGACTTTGTCACGAGGCCTTGCACGCATCGTCTTGGGCCAGTTCTGCTTCAGACGTGTCTTTTGCAAAAAGTCAGACTTTTCTGTGGACTTACCGCTTTATTATTCCTGCAGGAGGAGATAGTAGGTGGATGCAGGCAGCACTCCCTGCGCCAGGCTGTCTGGGTTCCGTGCCTTCTCAAAGTTGAAGAAGGTGTGGAGGGCATGGAAAACACAACTGGGGGTATGCGGGTGCGCTGATGTGACGTCAGGTAGCATGTTATTGATGGTTCCCTGCCAACAGTCCGTTGAGCCCCTTACTTAGACAGTGTGCCAGGTTGCACTGACGGCGCTAGCGCAACAGTTGCCAGATGCCGCTGATCTGAAAGTTGGATTGTTGCCGCTACACACAGCCCATGTGGACTTCGCGGAGCCTTCCAACAGGGTTTCTCACCATGTGGAAGCGTTCTTTGATCTCAGCAGCAACAGCTGGACCGAGGAGAAGATAGACGGGCTTCAGAAGACCTTTAGGTCATTGGACAAGCCCTGCACTTACCGGAGCAACGGCCAAGGAAGGGTGTGCGTGAATATGCCAGTGGCACGAGCATCACACAAGATCTTGCTTCTGAAGGAATGGTGATGGGACGCTGTCCGTGGAAGAAATCCGAGTTCCGAGCCTACGCCTGTGGCATGAAGTGCGTTCGGGGAAACATTGCCTGGACATAGATCTGCATTGCGAATGCTTCATCAGACGAAGCCGTCTTGTCGACCAATTTCCCAACGCCTGGGAATGGCAGATACTGTCATCGACCAGAATGTCAGAACGACATGCTATGACAGCTGTTTCTCCTGCAAAGAAGCTCAAGCCCAAAAGACGGGGATGCCATCGCCACGGTCAGAACCATGTGCTGCGCAACCGGTCTCAGGAAGCCATCGTGCAGCAGGGGCTCAATCCTCCAAAAGCCTTGGAGGACGTGAGCCGCTGATCTCTGTTTGCTTGAGCTTAATATTGTCTTCTTTCTACTATTGATACTATTGCTATTGCTGTGGCTGTCATGTGCTCTATAGTCCTGGACCCAACTGGGCTCTGCATGTCTAAACTGGGCAATTATGTAGGAATTCTCGCGGTGCTACAGTCGGCAATCTTAGGTTTAAGATTCGGCAGTTTACGAAACAAGCGAGGCTTTGGCAACAAGTCTTTGATCGTCAGGACATCCTACAAGCGATTGATTGCAATGGTGAGCTGCCAAGCTAACCGCATTTGTGCAATTCTGTCAAGCAGCTGCCAAATAGAAGCTCAGGCTCTGGTAGCTTGGACTACACGGAGTTCCTTGCGGCTACCTTGGACCAGAAAGTCTACATGCAGCGGGACCTCCTCCGATGCCGTTCTGGTCACAAAAAGTTATGACTTAAAGCTCCGACCGTGACAGGATGTTTGCTGGGCAGCCTTTCGAATCTTTGATCTGGATGGCGACGGGAAGATTACGAGAGAGGACCGCTGCATGACCAGAAGCACGCAGTCTCCGCATTCTGCCTTGTGCACACTCCCTGCTCTCGTGGTTTTGCAGGAGCTCGGCAAGGCGCGCGCACCCCTCTTTCGCAAGACGACCCCACCCCACACAATGACACGTGCAACAAATCTCGTTCCGGCTTATGGCCCTGGGAGAAGCAGGTGCTGAACGGCAATTCCGTGCAGGAGCTTTTTGGCGCGAGCCTGCTGCTCAGAAGGTGAAGTTTGGGACTGCATAGCCAGCCTCAGCAGTAGTCGCAACTTGAAGCTGGCCGGTTCGTTTGCGACAGGGAAAATCGAGAAGATGATCGAAGAGGTGGACAAGGCAGGGTCGCTTCTTAGGTTCTTGAGTCATGGAGCTCACAGCCTTCGGCGAAGGATGGCGATGGAGCCGTGGACTTCGAGGCTTCGCACAGAGATGGTGGCGTCTCCTCGAATGCTCTTTGTTGTCTTTTTCCTTGGCCGCAGGAGTTCTGTGCAATGATGTCGACCAAGGCTGGTTGCATCTGGTTCTGGGTCTGTCGAGACGAGAGATCTGTAGCATGCGTCTGCCACCAAAGCATCGAACAATCTCCTGAAGGCCTCACGTCCGCAATCTGCAGCAGAAGCGCCGGCTAAGCGGCAGCGTGTCTCTGCCTAGCGTCGGGAGGCCTGACAAACATGCAACTCGTTGCCAGTTTCGGCAAGCCAGACCACCATCCATCAACCGACAAGCCTAAGTTAATGCTGCAGTGCAGAAAAGACCCCTGCCCGAGTAGGAAAGGTTTAGCTTCAGTTGGCCTGTGCCTCTTCCAGGCGAGGTCACTCTGGTGAAAATTGCACGACCCACAATGCCCCATATGCCCCATACTCTGCTCCAAAAGTTCTACACTGCATTGCCATCGTCTTGGTGGAGAGATGCGAGGCTGGTCTGGTGAACCGCCAACGGGCAAACGGTTGGTCATAGCCAGTGTGTAGCTGAAGGCGAAGAGCAGCAGAGGTGGCCAGTGCTCATGAATGGTCGCTGCAGCGGATGCAGCGGTACATCTAGACAGGGTTTAAGACATCCGAACTTCGTGCGATCGCACTACTGCCCCTTGCTTAGGGAGACAAGTCGTAACAGGGTCCTGGCTATTCGGCTCCTCAGTTAACAGGCCGAGCAACTGGAGTGGAGCGCGCCACTCGTTTCAAAAAAGATCGAATTGTCAACGGCATGCCCAGTTGCCTCAGCACCCGTCGAGTTAACCCGACCTGGGCTTTCTGCAACACGCTTAGGGTCCGGTAGCACTTCGTGTCGCTTTGTACCGCCGAAGTTCCAGAGAGGTTATACATGCATACATAAATATGTGAATAACGTATGTTTATATCAACATGCTGATAAATTTTGCCTTACCATATTACTCTATATATTTTTAAATAGAACATTGCATTGTATCATGCTGTAGTACAGTTTGTTAAACAAGCAGCACAGCATGTTATATATGTTTCGCATATTATGTTATGTTTGTTACATTGTATTACAGTATACTTTGGGACATGCTACGACAAAACATTATACAATGATTTGGGTAGTGTATTATGTTACGTTCTGTTCTATCATGTCTGTTTCTGTGGTCATATGAGCCTTTGTGATGTTACCTTATTTAAATTCTAGATTACCTTATTTTCTTATACTGATACCATAGATTCTAGATTACCTCATTTTCTTATACTGACAACATATCACACTATGTTGCGTTGTGGCATAATGTGTTGTGTTGTAATCCTCTGTATTATATCATCTTATTTTTGTAGTAATTTAATTGGAATGTAGCATTTTGCTCTGTTGCATTATTTCAGTTTAGTATAGTCTTGTGTGATTGCAGAGCATAGTATACCATGGTACAGCAAAATACATTACATCAGAGTATAGGAGAGTTTCTTTCTCATAGTGTAGTATAGTATGGTATGGTATGTCTTTGCATGCCTCTCTGCTTGCACCAACCTGGCCGCCAAAAGATGACGTGTTCTTTGCTCGCAGCGCTTGATCTTGGCTCTCCGGGATGTCACGGTCTTGCTGTGAAGCTGCCCACGATGTCAGGCGGAGGAGCTTGGGCTTAGTTGGTTAAGCGCCGCAAGCATGGGGATACGGGCAGATGAGGCCTCGCAGAGATTCGGAGTAGCAAAGATAAGAGGAAGATCCCAGTGATTCGCTCGCCAATATTGACCTGCAAACGAAGCATGATCTCTGGATGCATGTCCTGTGAAGAGGAGCCGCTTGATCGTGGAGCGGCTGCAGGTGCGGTTTCTGGTCGTGTGGGCTCGGTTCAAGGGGAAAGAGTCGGTAAGAGGTGAATCTCTAAGAACTACTCGAACCCCAAACTCTTCCGACATCTCGCTTGTTCTGCGGCATACTGCAATCCCAGGACGGCCGAAAGGTTTCCTTTCAGCATCCACGCACCGACGATCGTTTTGCAAGATGCACTGTGAATGACAACCCTCATCGTATAGTGCAGGCAAATCAACGTAGGGCCTTTGCAATAGCGACGTGGCTTTTGCCACGAGAGCGACACCAGAACTAAGCGCAGCCAGGTGGCCGGAACGAATGGCAGATGACGACGGAGATGCAGTCGCTCGCTTGACGAATCTAGTCTGCAGAATAGCAGCAATATGCAACGATCTGGTTCAGGTAGCTGATCTGCTCGACGAAGCCCTGGAGAGTGCCAAGAAGGGTGACGCGCTGCCAGTCGCACCCTCGGTGGAAGCACCCTCGGTGGAAGGACGCAAAGATGGCGCAAGGTGAGCCCTGAAAGCGTTTGTGGACGGTCTGCTGACTGTTCGGTCGGTGCCACGTGGAGTCAGGCAGCACACAAAAAGTACAAAGATGTTGCAGCGTTGTCCGAATCCTAAGGAGCCAAAGAAGGACAAGAAGCAGGATAAGAAGAAGGAGAAGGCAAAAGAGAAAGAAAAAGCTACTGGGCGTCACAGTTGCGAGCTTCCCTGTCCCCAAAGAGTCCTTTTTGCAAGAACTTGCGAGCTGAGGAAAAGAAAGACAAGGAGAAAGACACAGACTCGAACATGGTAGTTGCTGTCCCTCCGGTTGTCGAGGATCAAGTGATATGCAGCAAACCCGGAGGACAGAAGTCGTAGCAGAAGTCGCGACCGAAGTCGAAGTCCGTTCCCAAGCTCTTCGTTTTTACACTGGAGCCGGAAGAGAGGTGATGGCGAATTGAAAATACCTGTGTGTGGAGGCCGTGACCGCGAAAGGGGACGTGCTAGCCGTGCCGCACTCAGAAAAATTCGAGCAAGGAAGCCCAACGGAGGTTGCACTTTCAAGTGTGGTTGACTGCCCGGTAACAGCTGCACAAAGCCGAGCTGAGTTAGGCAGCCGAGACCGTGACCGGAAGGCGGCGGGGGATTGCGTTGCGCAGCCGCCCTTCAGTTGATGTTCGGGTGTACAGCGGCGCCTTCTGTGGAGCGGAACTGACAGGATCGGTCTCGGGATCGCAGAGATCGGTCGCGTGATCGGTCACGTGATCGGTCCCGCGACAGAAGAGACAAGGACATAGTTCGTTGGGCATCATGTTTCCATGTGGATGCAGCTCGCTGGAATTTGTGTGCAGCAAGCGGGCCAGCCCTTGCTATTGGGCAAAGTGAAGCGTCAAATAGCAGGGCTGGCACGGTCAGAAGATAGGGCGCTGGCATTCCAATTCCTGTCGTCGAGTAGGGATCATGCAACATCTCGAAGCAGACTCGCAAGAACGGGGGAAGTGACGATTGGATGACAACACAGAAATTGCACTGCTGAAAGCAAGTATGGTGTAGGCAAGCAGATACATCGTCCGCTGGATACAAAGATGTATTGCGAGATGGCCGGGTAGCCAGGTAAAGAAATTGGGCATGATGTATGCACTTGTGTATATGCAGAGATAGATCTACCGATAGACAGATTGATATTCCGTAGTGCAATCCAATACCATACCTGTATCTACATTTACACCTAGGCCTAGACCTATACCTATATCTATCTCGTTATATATACCGTTTATATACCTATACCTATATCTACATCTGTGTCAATATCTACATTTCTACTGTATCTGTATCTAAATCTATATATTATATCTGTGTATGTATATGTATATATGTATGTATGTATGTATGTTTGTTTGTTTGTGTGTATGTAGGTATGTAATGTATATCTACCTATCAGTCTATCTATCTAAACCATATATACATTCATACATACATACATACATATATATATATATATATATACATACACATACACATACATAAGCCGATGTCTATACATACACTTGGAATTATGTGCATGCAAGTATGCATAGGTGTAGAAGTACGGATGCATTCATAGGTAGGTAGATAACTATGTAGGGATGTAGGTATATAATACAGGTATGCAGATACATGTAGGCAGGTATGTGTCTATGCATGCGTGCATGTAGGTACACATGTCCATATGCACATATGCGTGTGTGTATGAAGGCAAACCAGGGCTCATGTAACTTTTCATGTAAGCGTGGTTGTATGCATGTACGCACGCATGGATGTGTGTATCCATGCATCCACGACGCTTTCGCACCTTCACAGATACAAGTGTTTACATGGCGCACACGCATGTGCGTCCGTACATAGTTTGGTACCAAGGAATATGTTAACACGATGTGTCTAAAACGGTGAACAGCCTGACGGGTCAGGATATGTCTATGCAGTGGTAGGCGCATGTGAGTGTAAGTGATCAAAGTCAGGAACCAATGGAAGACAATCGCATAACCGATGTATCGAGATGCATCTTCCACACATCCGAGGAGGAAAGTGTGTTATGGAGTCCACAAGCATGGCCGCTAGACAGTGCGGGATCACGTAACAGATATTGCATGTGCAGCACGAGCTTCGTAGAAGATGTGACAGACCGCACAGAGCGCAGCTTCAAAAACGCAAGTCGTGTACGAAGAACTTCGGCCTTAATATGCTATTTTCCGTTGGAACCAACTGAGTAGTTGGGCAAGTTGCAAGCTAGCTGTGTGGCCAGATAGCTGACCCAGCAACTTGGCAAGTAATATGATGAGCAACTCCGTCAGTCAACCCGGCAGCAACGCAGCAAGCACTAGTGCTTCAAGTGAAAGTCTAGCCGGACTAGACCAACTATCTCTGTAAACCTGGCGCTGGGGACTTGTGTTTTTATGACACGAGCGCCTGACCAACAGACGTGAATGCATCGTCAGAAGTACATGAATAAGATACTGGTCTGCAAACCAGAACGCTGACCAAGTAGCCGGGTAGGCAAGTCACGCAAACAAAGAGGACGGTGTGTAATGCAATCTCTGAATGATACACCTTGTACCGTTGTACGGAGGTACATTGCTGGACAGGTAAATGGGAGTTTCATAAAGTAGATTTTATTATTTAGCGTACTATATTAGGGTCCGTATTATCAGAAACACCCGAACGGGAGTTTCCGAAAATTGCGGGTCCCTTCTTTGGTGTCCTTATGAAAAGGATCCTACTATGTAGGGTACTGTATTAAGATCCCATATTATCAGCAGCCCCCAAATAGACATTGACGAAGCTTGCGAGGACCGCGGCCGAAGAAGGAGCCGAAGCAGAAGCCGAAGCCGAAAGTGCCGTCCTCTGCCAACTCCTGGGCTCTTGTTGAGGGATTTAATTTCAAAGCTACCATAATACGGAAACCATATTATGTAGTATGTAGTAGAATTAAATCCCTTAAGAAGAATCCAGACTCTTGTGATTCCTTTCGGTGCTCGACGTCAACAGCTTCCGACGAGGCGTCGTAGTCGCAGTCGAAGGCGGAGGCTGGGAGTTGAGCTTTCTGATGGCACGGCGTCTGTGTCGGACAGACATAGCTGACACAGCAAGTTGTGACATGCAGCTGGCGAGGAGTAGCAGCAGCCGTGCTAAGCGAAAAAGTCGCAGCCGGCGTGTGCCGGCCCGAGTTGCCGTGAGGCTTTGTATTGTTCGACGAGGAGAATCCCCGTGCTTGGTTGCAGCATGTTGCAGCTTTCAGCATCCTGTGTGAACGGGAGTGCCAATATGGTCGGCGTGAGAATGCGTGTTGTTGACCCGCGAGCTGCCGAGGGCAAAGACCGTGGCCGCGACAGAGAGAAGGACCAGACGCCTCCGCATGCCCAGTGCTGTCGCATTGCCGTCAGAATCAGTAGGTGGTGCAGGAGGGCGGAGTGAAGGGTTTGTAAAGTTTCAGCGTTTCCCCCCGACCTTGTGTTCCGACCCTACCCCCCTTGTTTTGGAGAACCGATGCCAAGTCCGCAAAGGCGAGACGTGGTAGTGCAAGGTCTGGTTGTGCCACACCGCTTGTCCAAAGCCTGAGACCTCAAAAGGCCAGGCAAAGAGGTTCATGCACGGTTGACATGGGTTGATAGTTCAGCAGGACAGAGTCTGTTCTTTTGGTCCGGACTAAGACCATTCTGAGAGGCCTCAGTCCCAGTTGTGTGAAGACAGGTCTTGTCCCCGATGGCTCACTTGGACGCCGCAGGGGATCTCGGGTTCACCGCATTGTTTCAAGCTCCTTAAAATACGACAAGCTCAAGGCACTAAGCACGGCATAGCCTCCCACGGTTTCGAAGCTGCCACAGCCCGCAAGCGCCAAGCACCAGCACTCAACATCACTCAACTCTCTGTATTATAAATTATCTAACTTGATCTAACTCTCCCAATCTGCTTACAGCCCCAAACCATCCGAACTCCGAAATTCCCACATCCGAAGTCTCGGGACCGCAGGCCCAGGTGACCTTTTCCCCTTTGTCTGCCACCGGTCATAGGGTATCAGTGCTGCGTATCTCAGCGTAGGCTGCATGGTGTGTGACTTCGAGGACTCCAGCCGATCGCGGAGCGTGAAGCCCCAACGCTCCGCGATCTCACCGGAGCCCGGCTCCTAAGGTGGAGATTAGGGTTTAGGGCGGGGTTTGGGGTTTAGGGCGGGGTTTGGGGTTTAGTGTCCGATTTTAGGACTTTTCCTTTTGCGAGCCTCATGGTTCGGGTGATCTCTCAGGGTCCAGCTTCTGTTTCTGGGTGCAAGGTTTTTCTCCCACAAGTGGTTTTTCCGTCCATCCCTTGCATCCAATCAACGTTCTGTCGAGAGGTAGGGTTTAGGAAGGAAAATAGGTGCTGTGGAGAGCTCTTACTTGGAGCAATGCCCTGACGGCTGCCTGATGGTGGTTTAAGAGCACGGCCATCTGCTTCGTTTTGGTCCTTACAGTTACCGCGGTTTTGGGTTTTGTAGGACTTTTGGCGAGTTGAGGGTTTCGACGTTGCAGTGCTTCGGATTGAGATGTAGGCATGCCGCAGCGGACCTCTTTTTGGCGTTTGCCGTCTCGGCAACTTTCATGCTTGGCAGGCACTGAAGAAGGGTTGAGGCTTTGTGCGAAGTGTTTGTGGGTGCGGCCGCCCATGCCAAGTCGGAGGGCTTCGGCCTCCCCAGGTCGATGCCAAAGCTCTTGGAGCCCACGTCAGCTCCGAAGGACTCCCAAAACGGGTTGAGCCGATCTGAATAAAGGCTGCCTGTTTCTGTACCTGGAGTTTGTCTCATTGTTGTTTCGTTGCCGCTGTGTTGTTCTGCATCAGGAAAATCCTCTCATCCCGGCACTCCGTGTCGGCAGCGAGCCCAGATGCAAAGGGTCGCTGGCGAGTTTGAAGAGCTCCGTTTCCCCGTCGCCACCAGAAAATCCAGAAACACTTGAGCTGCAATCGCCAAAAACATATGCCGAGCAAATCGCTTGCTAGCGTGTAAGGAGGAGGACGAGGAGGGACGAGGAGGAGGAGGATGAAGAGGAGAAAGGGATGGACGCAATGATTTACGCGGCAGCCTGGCTTACGTCACAGATATGGCAACAGAAGCAAATTGTGCCTGGCTAGCGAGCGCATTGTTGCAATCATGCTGACGACCTCATTTGAACCATTGTGTTCTTTCCGGCTGTATGACATGAAATCGCGATTTACATGCGGTGCGACATGCAGTCTTTACCTTCGCCCCTGGCGAGGTGGTGCTCCCATCCCTGGAGCAACAGCAGCTGAGGCCGCAACAGAGCACCTGAATGCGTTTTCTTGCACACCTTGTAGGTGGTTTGGTTCAATAACAAGTCTCAGATCCGTTTGAGACATCAGACACGGAGCATCACGCAGCTAACAGACGTGGGTCAGTCGGTGGTTGCAGATACTGCAGCCTGTGACGTCAGGAGAGAAAGAGGTCCAAGCTCGGTCCTCAGCAAGAAGATTCGTTCATCCGACATTTTGAAGGTGTTGTCAGTCGTTCTGTCTTCAGGCTCACCAGGCAAGGTTTAATGAGCTGGCCAATTAACGTTGTGAGGTGGGACGAGATGGGCGATCCATCTACGACGTTGCCGGAGTGGCTCAAGGCGCACCAAGTTGAAAGCATGCGTGCTGCCCACAGGGCTGGTGCTGCTCAGGGATGAATTTCAGTACACGTCCGTTGCGACATCTGTCCAGGACATGAGCAAGAGCGATCCGAAGAGTGTCCGGCCGGTCCCACCAGGTCGCTGCCCTGGCATGAGGAACGCAAGGCTATGCAGTAGTTCTTGGATCAGGCATTGACCCGTCCCGCTTCAAGATCATTCGCATGGAGGGCGTTCAAATCCGGGCGCTGATTGGCAAAGGTGGTGAGACGATCAAGGTTTCCTGGCAACATTGGTTCCTCTTTGAGTGTTGAGTGTTGAACGCAGAGGCAGGGACAGCAAACGGGAAGCCCAAAGCATTGAAGTCCAGCCCGAAGCCTGAGCCTCGAATTGGAAGCAAGGAGATCAGACTGCGAAGCGGAGCTGACATCAAGATCGACCACCTGCCATCGGACCGATCTGTGCACGCACTAGGCTTGTGTTCAAGGCATTTCCGACGAAAAGCGGTTTCGTCGCTCTGGTGGATGATTGTGACGACTGTCATGGTCATTGTGACGGATGGTGCTGCTGCTGCTGCTGCGAATGTTGATGATGGTGCTGGTGACATCTGAGCCTGGTGATGACGATGATCGTTCTGATTCTGCCGATGGGATTGACGAAACAACAATGTGGCCTCAACCTCCGATTCTGCATTTTTTTTTTTGCTGCTGCTGCTGCGACTATCACTTGGACATACTTGGATGTCCACACACCACGACGACAGCTGTTGCTACCACTGTACAGGACTACTCTTGCGTGTTTTGTTTCGCTTACTCGCACTTCCCACGACCACCACGACCACCACGACCACCACGACCACCACGACCACCACGACCACCACCACCACGACCACCACGACCACCACGACCACCACGACCAACCACGACCACCCGACCACCACACCAACGACCACCACGACCACCACGACCGACCACGACCGCCACGACCGCCACGACCGCCACGACCGCCACGACCGCCCACGACCGCCACGACCGCCACGACCGCCACGACCGGCCACGACCGCCACGACCGCCACGACCGCCACGACCGCCACGACCGCCACGACCGCCACGACCGCCACGCCACGTCGACCACCACAAACCGACCCACCACAACCACCCCACCACCACCCACCACCACCACACCACCACCCACCACCACCACCACCACCACGACCACCACCACGACCACCACCACGACCACCACCACGACCACCACCACGACCACCACCACGACCACCACCACGACCACCACCACGACCACCACGACCACCACCACGACCACCACCACGACCACCACCACGACCACCACCACGACCACCACCACGACCACCACCACGACCACCACCGCGACCACCACCACCACCACCGCCACCACCACCACCACCACCACCACCACCACGACCACCACCACCACCACCACCACGACTACTACTGCTACTGCTACTGCGAAGCCACTGCCACTGCGATTGTGACTTGCGACTCCGACTCCTACTCCTACTCCTCTTCTCCTCCTCCTCCTCCTCCTCCTCCTCCTCCTCCTCCCACTGCTACTACCACTGCGACGGCCACGGCTTCTACTGATTGGTGTTTTGTCAATTCTGCTTCGTAGTTTGATGCCTCCTGGTTATCCCAGACGCGGGTGATCACAGGATCCCGAGGGAAATGTCACCATTGTCGGCGATGTTGAAAAGTCCAGCACTGAGAGATCCGACACGAGGCCCCAGGTGGCAGGGCGAACAGCTGTCGCATGGACCGACCAAGGACAGAAGGCATGATCCAGGAGTGCCTGAACTCGAAGGGCTGTCCTTTGGGTGTTCCACATGCCAAGCTTGTCCGACACTTGGTATCCCGGTCATCGCGGAGGGTTCTTTTATACGGCGTAGCATCCAAGGCAGCCCCTCCTGCACCACCGGCCCTGGGCAACTACGGCCCTGGCATGGCCATGGGTGGGCCCGGGCAAGGACCGGGTTCCATGGGTGCTCCGATGCCGCTCGGATGAGTTCGGCCTTCGGCATGTTCCAGAGACCCCGGTGTTCTGAAATTCTAAGGCAAGACTATCAGTGTGCTGACAATGAAGTCATTGTGCCCGCCGACTTAGCCGGACCCTTACAAGGAAGCCGACAGGTGACGCCGACAGCGTCCTTCCGCACCCAGGTGGGAGGTCTTATCGGTCCCTCTGGTTCTGGAGTCAAGGCACGGAGTCCATCGAGTCACGACAGGTAGGACTAGCAACATTCCAAGTCGTGATCATGCATGGCAAGCTAGTCGGGAGTTGCTGTATAGTAATAGTGCAGTCATAGCTGTCGTATTTCCATGCCCAACCGAAGTGCAGCACTCGGGATGCTCATACAACTCGCAGAGGTATATGTTTAGGATCCACCATCGTGGTCGTCGTGGTAATCATCACCATCATCATCATCATCACCGGAAAGCCTGAGCAGAAAGCCAAATAGTTAGATACGAGGAGATCCGGGAAAAGTCAGGCGGCCAAGTGCCTGGACCCGAGATTCTCCAGCTTGACAGATGGGAGTTTCCGAAAACTAGGGGATCCTTATTTTGGGGTCCTTATAATTAGGATCCCGCTATTTAGGGTACTACATTAGGGTCCGCTATTCTGTGACACTCCCACATGTACACATCGGCAGACCTGCTCCAGCTTCGCATTGGGACCAGCTTTGACATCAGCCCACCCTTTCCTGGCTCCGCAATCTTGTCTGGCTCATGCTCGAAGCCCTCGGAGTGGAGTCCTCTGTAAGCGCGTCGGTGCGTGCCTTTGGTCCGATGACCGACTCCGAAGAGATCGAAGAGCGCGTGCTGGCGCTCATCGATCTGCTCAAGAAGAAGGCTGGCGAAGCGAGGGCAGTCACGATGATGTCAGGGAACAAGTGGTTTCGTTGCCAGGATGACAAGAAGATCAAGGAGTGTGGCGAGGAGATCGCCGATGCAGCAAGCGACAATGAGCCATACTTCGAACCCGAGCAGGTTGTGCAGATGCGACTTGTCGCAAAGTTTCAGGTTCTGGATGGTTCTGGCCGGCATGTGGATTTGCAGCGTTTTGCAGCTTGTGAATCTTGTGACCTGAGCAGACGAGGCTGTCCACCTGGCTTGATGCGTGCATAGCCAAGCGCAGCTGGGCTGCACTCGCCGGAGCAAAGAAGTCTGGAAGCCACCACACTTGGCCTTCGTCGTAACTGTGTAGAGAAGCATGGCCAACACAACACATCGCAACTTCTTCCATACTTCGAGATTACCTCATCCCATGGATCTGTACAGGTATGCCGTGTGTCCAGCGTACTCGCGCCGTGCACGCAGTGCACGCCTCTTATGGTTCTTCTCACGTAATCTCGTCTTTGCAATCCTTGCCTCTGTTCAGAGCGCTGCACTGCCATCGATCAAAAGAGACGATGATTGACCAACATGTAGAGGTGCATATCTTGGCACCTGCTGGTAACGATCGTTTTGGAAAGACCTCTCGTCCTCGCCTCGAGGTCTGCCGTAGTTTAGCGGGAGCTGAGGAGATGACGAAGTTCTCCAGGTCACAGCCACCGCGATCCGCTATGCAAAAGTTGAAGATGGGTCTGAACATCCAGGAATGACCGAGGCTCGAAAGTTGATTGTCAGCGACTTGTGAAGGAATACGTCTCTTGCCTAGCCTGCACCGACCGACAGGTGCTGAAGAAGCTGCTTAAAGCGCTCGCGGTTCCAGGCAGCAAGCATCTTGAGACCATGTTCTTGGTAAGGTCCCAGCCGGTGAAGTGGACCGGCGATCTGCAGATGTACCCCGTTCTGACGGAGCTCCTTGTGCACGACAAGACAGAGGTTCTCCACGACGCCTTGGAGCTCATCACGGGATGTGCCTTTGTACAGCTCATGGAGCTACCGGACGAGGAGGCTGCTGCCATCTTGAAGATGACCCTGGAGCTTGTAAAGCATGTGAAGCAGCTGGTGAAAGGCTACAAGCCAGGAGAGATGACCATCTCAAAGCACTTGGCCCAAAAGCTTACCTACTTGAAAGGCCTTCTGCAAACAGCCAACATCTTCTGTGCCATGCTGGTGATGAACTCAAATTTTCCCAAAGCTACTGCAGCAATCGCTGCTCCCTCTTTGATCCTCGAGCTCAAGGATGCCCTCAGCGAGCTGAAGCCCAAACCGAAGGAGCAGGATCTCAAGCAGCAGCTGAGCGAATCCTTGGAACACTGCCAGAACCTCATTAGCAGCATGCCCAAACCAGCGGCCGGGTCATCATCAGACCCCGTCGGGGATGCCAAGTCCTACCTCAAGGGCCTCAGTTCGGCGACTGACACCAAGACACTGGAAGGCACGCTGAAAATGATGATGAGCAACACCGACCCCAAGTTCCTGGATGTTGTGCTGGCCAAAGACAGTCTGCAATCTGTCATGGCTACATTTAAGAAGGTGAAGAAGACGGAGATGGACAGCATTTACCTGACATTTCAAGCATTCCTCGCCTTCCTGGTGCAGAACCGTCCTGCTGCCCTGGATCCTGTTGCCGAGGAGATGATTCAACTCTACATGGCCGGACCCGTAGGCTTCGCCACGCCCAAGACCTTCGTCGATGTATGCACGGAGAAGTCACCAGGCATTGCGAAAAAGATCTGGACTAAGGTTGACATGTGGAGCAAGGCAGTGAAGGACTCCAAGGGCGGGCCCATGTACGAAGCAAACCTCTACCAGCTGGCCAGCGCCCTCGAGAGCATGCCTCGAGTGCTGGAAGGCGCTGAACTGGAGGCCTTAGCCGGGAAAGTGAAGGACTGCTGCACGAGAGTGTCATGAAAGAGCACGTCATAGCACGTTCTGCATGCTCTGCCTGGCAGCACATGGAAGGACGTGGCTGAGCTCGGAAAGGGGACGTCTATGGACAGTGCCTTGAAATGCTCCGCACTGGTCAGCTTGAAAGCCTTGGTGGTCAAGGACCGAAGCAATCTGCCTCGGGACGTTGTGTACTATAAGGTCTGTAATGCTTTGGGGGCTCCTCATTATATTTATGGTATAATGTGCCCTAAAAACCCGTTTCTAATTATTAAGGCACCTATATTATTCCTTCGTCTTGCAGTGAGATTCGACCTGCATCCAGAACCTACGTGTGCAAAGTCGAAAATCCTGAGCTGAAGGACAAGGCCCGGTTGCCAAGCAATGTGCTCCGTTGGGCGCAGGAGACTTGGCCTGGACTAGAACGCTCCCCTTGCAGTAAAATCCATCTGTAGAGTCGCCAACACTGCGCCAGAGTGCATTGCCAGACCGAAGCTGGACAATGTAAAGGATTGGTTGACCAGCCAGTGTAGAAGTTGAAATGACTTGCTGTTCCTGTAGATTTCCGTTCGTCGCTTGGTAGGAAGTAGCAAGTTGATCCAGGTCACTGTAGGCTTCTCCGTTTAGGTTCTTTGGCAGGCCCGACCTTTCAAAGGACACCGAAGACTTCGACATCAATCCACAACCCCGTGAAACGCCAAGTCCCTGAACCCTAGTCGCCCTAATCATTCTGTGTAACCGAGGAGCTGAAAGGAGGAGATGGCTCAGCGCGGGAGATGGCAACAAGCTCCATGTCTTTTCAGTAATGTAGGATGCAGGGTTGGAGGTTAAGGCTGCAGGGTTGAGTGCGGGGCCGGGTTTGGACCTGTCGAAAATTGAATGCTGCCAGCCCAGCAAACTCCCTGTTGGCCCTCACCGATCCTATGAAGGACCTGCCCTTCCTGCCTGAGCGTGTCGCCTGAGGGAACAAAGCAACGCCCAACCTGCAATTGTGCCATCTGGGAGTTTCCGAAAATAGGGGACCCTGATATAGGACCCTAAATAGTATGATCCCTATTATAAGAACCCCCAAAAAAGGTACCCCTATTTTCGGAAACTCTCATCTCCTAAATCCATCCCTCAGAGCACGAGAGGTCTGATCGATGCCTATGAGGGTCGGTCCCTGGAGGGCGCTTACGAGCAGATTGCCGACATGAACTCCAGATTTAAGGAGGCTGTCCGGAACGAGAAGAGAATAAACACTTCGTTGTTGTCATGTAATCAGGTTGCAACAGTCGTTTCCTGTGCAATATCGGGAGTCAGGTTCTAGATTCTAACTTCTCGGCTAGTTGTTGGATCCTGTTGGACATTGTTTCCAATCCTGATTTCTTTGTGTCCCTAGGTGAACTTTGATTGACCAGGCTTGCGGAGATATGGAAAGCCTCAAAAAGTATGTCGACGACAATATGTCAGAGATGAAGGACCGATTGATGTTCGTGCGGGGCCTTGGCTCTTTGTTGTGGGACCCAGGATCATCAGGTCGTGAGCCTTCGTGTCTCGACATTTGGAACTTCCAGACTTCAGCATTTCGGACCGGTCTGGAGCCTGTGCTGTTGGCTTCGAAGCTTCGAAGGATTTCATCAGCACCGTGGCCAAGAAGCTGCCAATGCCAGTGAGATTTTCGTCTGAGCCGAGGCATCGGGTCTCACGCTGCTTCTTTCTGAATATGTGAGGTTCTGTGAGCTTGAAGCTCCGGATCGTAACACAAGTGGTTTCAGCTCCAAGAGCAAGCATGTGGCATAACGAGTTCTCATCCGTCTTCGAGTCGAGGTCCTAGAATAGGCATCATGCATGCCGCATGCCCCGTCGGCAGCAATGAATTTGCCAGTGGCCGAGAGTTGAGTCGCTGGAGGTACGTGGTGAAGAAAGCCATGCTGCTGCACTTCAAGTGCGAAGCACCTACAGCCACCCGTTTCTGTGTGCTGCCGGACAGAGCCACATTCACCACAGAAACCATGGAGTGGTCGCGATGGCTGAAGATGGGACTTTCTGCAGCAAAGCTTGGCAAGTCAATTTTGTCGGCTGACGCCTTGGCTTGCCATGGTAAACCCATTTCTGTACGCCGTGCAGTATGATCGGTAGGATGGACACTCGGTTGCTGGTCGGTTGTTTGCGTGGCCAGAGGGCATTAGGATGTAACCGTCCTGAGGATGCTATTGCAGACGTTCCCGGAGTTGTGGATCAGGTGAAGGGCCTTTTCAGTCTCTATAACAAGGACGAGGGCGAGGACTTCATGACATTTATCTCGGAGCCTTTCCTGACGTCACAGGAGCAGGACAAGCTCCTGAACCAGCTGCGGGCGGCGAGCTATTTCGAGAACTTCCGGTACGACAGCCAGACTGCCTCGTGGTTTTGCGCGAACTGCCACGCGATTTACACCAAGGCCGGCTCGAAGCGAAGCGCGGAAGGCTTGGAAGAAGCAGCGAGCCACCCTGACCTTGAGATTCCCTTCCCGGACCTGCGCTTCGAGAGCGGCGGTGGCGGTCTCGAGGGTCTGGAGGATCGTGCGAGGAACGCCGCAGGGGCGGCCCTGGAGGTCAAGAAGACCACGGCGGCCTGCTGCACGCTCTTCGGCTTCAGCCTCTGTGAGACGGAGACAGGGGACAAGGACGAGATCAAGACTTAGGGCCTTAGGGGCCAGGGGTCTCTGAGATTTTAAGGGAGCTCGGGTGGCCGAGCCGCGGCAGGGTTGCCCAAGGCACGTGCAGCATCCCAGCGCGCAGTGTGTTCGTTTTGCTAGACTCTAGACGAGTCATATCTAGACATAGACGTGCTCCTGCCAGAGCTGAGTTGTGTTGGGCCGAAGCCCTGCGGTACAGCTCACGAGCTACGGAATCGCTGTCGGAGACAGAGCTGCTTCATGCCACCTGTGCTGAGGCGTAAGGCTCATTTGTCGCCCGTGCTGCGGTTAGCATGGGACTTTCTGAAGGAAAGCTCCAAAGAAGCATCGCGCACTTTGCATATTCGACCACCGACCACCCATCTTGAATGAACACTTCAGACTTCCGATCCGACGGTCTTGATGGAAGGTTTATCTCCATCCTACCGCCCTCGCACACTGGAGCGGATCAGCTGGTCAGGGCTGTCGGCTCGGTTTTCAGAAAGAGGCTAGTCTCTTTGAAAAAAAAGGGGAAGCTTTAGGTGGTTGGTGACAACCACCTGCTGGCGAAGCAGCTCATCCTGGTCCTACCGGCCAGTTGAGATCGGGAAACAGTGTCTGAGTGAGGGTTACCTGGTTACCTACTAGTAGCTGCCTTTCTGGTTCAGGAGAGAATCGAGGAGCTGAAACTTCAATACAGGGGACCAGGCAAGGATTGGCAGGGCCGTGTTGCCCAAGGAGATCTGTTGCATCTGCTTTGTTTGCAGGCGGCTGCATGCCAATGCCGGGTCAGCTCCCCGCAATGTAGATGAGCACCGAAAGCTTCAATGCAAGCACGGAAATGTGAGAGCAAAAGTCGGTTCCCGTTCATTTTGCAGCTGCTGGGGAGGCTATGCCGGCGCTGGTCGTGGCCTTGGTGAACTCACGGTCGGCAGCAGAACCCATGCCGAAATGATATTTCTTTGTCTTGGATTTCCGGGTGCTTCTCTCCTGTTCCACATGCAGTAAGTGTGACTATTTGAGGTATGCAATCGCCCATGCTGGGGAACTCCTACCCTTCGCGGCCTAAGGCAAGCGTGCCAACCTATCAGTCCGTTTCTTCATACGACGCTGAACTGATGTGTGTGGAAGCAGTGAAGGCCCCAGGGGTCGGGATCCTTGGCGCCGCACACGCCGCACCTAGTCCAATGTCGCCCGAAGCTCAAGACGGACTGCTGTTGCAGTTGCAGTTGAAAGTTGAAACTCGTGCGATGTGCCCCCGAGGCCTTTTCTCCAGAACCAAATGCCGCCTCCACCAGGACCAATGAGAGGGATGGTCCCGCCAGCATCCTACGAGACTGGTGCCTTCAGAGGTCTTCGGGTAGGCGAGTGTAAGTGTAAGCGTTTTCCCTGCTGTCTTTGGTCGTGAGGCCGCCTCCCATGGGGCCTCCCATGGGGCCTCCCATGGGGCCTCCCATGGGGCCTCCCATGGGGCCTCCCATGGGACCTCCCATGGGCCCTTGCGGATGCGGAGGCACTGCCTTTAATCCAAGTCATTGAGGTGATACTTCTCCAGACGCATGATTTTCAACTCGTCCGGCAAAGCCTCAGTCTAAAACCACACAGAACCATTGCCGACGAACCTTGGACGGCAGAAGGAGTCGCGCCTGACAAAGCCTCAAACCGTGGTTGGAAAGCCCTGATATAGGGCATGGGCGTGGCGGGGATGGCCGGAAGCCACGAAAGAGTATATCCCTACTTGTTTCGGGGCATTTTAAGCAGTGCAGCTCGAAGGCTGCTCGGGCCCCTACTCGGCTCCGGCGCCGCCTCCGCCTCCCGCGGGAGGTGGCGGCTTCGCGCCACGCCTGGGAGGAGGCGCGCTGTGCTCTTGAGCTAAGGTGTGTTGAGTCTCGGTTTGTGATTCTGGTAACTGACGCTGCATCTGATGTGCACTATATAATTTTTGATATGTGTACATCGTGTCATGTGGTGCAAAGAACGTCACGGCACACGCTACTTGAAACATTCCGTATCCTGAAAGCCCCCTTGCTTGGGCTTCCAGAAGTTTCAGGGCTTCTGCTTCCATGTAGGTCCGCCTGCACCGGGCGGGTATCCAGGAGGCCCGGGCTGCAGAGCACCGAGAGCTTGGGTTCGGGTCCTGTGTGCCACTTCCCGGCTGCCCGGTCAGGTCCGGCTGAGTTTGCCTCTCAGACATCCGGTTTAGGGTTTAGGGTTCTGCACCTCCACGGTCTGGGTGATTTTGTTTGTCCCTTGGGCGTTTGCATCTTGCTCACTAGATGGGACCGGGATAAATGGCAAGTCTGAGGCGAATGGGGCCTGGCTCAGCGCTTGGCGGTTGTGGTGCGCTTGGCTGATGGATTGATGCTTGAGCTAATCGCATGTCGGCAGTCTATAGCAGGCTCAGCGACGTTTCGCTGAGTCAGGCATTATTTGTGCTAGGGGTTCCGCGCCAGGTCTCACATCCATGAGCAACGTAGCTCCTGGACAAGGCACGAGTCACTAGTCGGAATCGAAGAGACCGAAGCTGGGTAATGCAGCACCTCGTCATGACAAGGTTGACGCTGATTGCTATTAGCCTTGATAGCTTGATGTGGAGTTGAGCTCCGTATTGACTGCCCAGATCTAACGAGGCTGTCCAACATCAGCACTTCTTCCACAACTCCTTATACAAATCCTGCAGTTAAGGGAGTATGTAGCCGATGGTAGTGGCTGACTGATTCGTCTTGTCCAGAGACGCTTTGCACCTTCAATGAGTTTGAGCGTGTGACGTTGTGCATGTCTATGCGGTGGTCGTCGCCGTTGGCGCATAGGCGTAGGCGTACGCGTGGGCATAGGCGTAGGCGTCGCCCTCGTCGTGGTAGCAGCAGTAGTAGCAGTAGTAGTAGTAGTAGTAGTAGTAGTAGTAGTAGTAGTAGTAGTAGTAGTAGTAGTAGTAGTAGTGGTAGTAGCAGTCGAAGTAAGGCACGTCGGACCTTACCTCACAGAACTTGCAAGACCAAAATTTTCTAGATGCCTGGGCCAGGACCTCCCGGTCCCCCGCCTGCGACCTTTGCCAGCCCGGCCTCCGCCTCGCCTCCGCCGGGGGCCCAGGACGAGTTCAGATCGTGAGGATATGGGAGTACCTTATTTTGGGGTCCTGATAATCAGGACCCTACTATTTAGGGTTCTGTATTAGGGTACTATATTAGGGTCCCGTATTCTCTGGAACTCCCATATGAGGCCTTCGGGCTTTCCTGCCTTCCTCCTTCCTCCACACTCGCGAACACCGAAACAACCACGCGCGAACGAAAAGCACCTGAGTATCGCACGACTTTGCATTCACAAGGCTCAGCCGGACGCAGGTTTTTCAGTCTAAGATGCTCCATTTAATCAATTGGCAGTGCTGTCTTCAATAAGGCCTGGTCTACCTCCGTCCCCGGCTCCGCCCGCCAAAGCCAGCTGGAAGCTCAGTCTCACAAGCCTTCCAGTAGCCGCATGATTGAGAGATGGAGAAGCAGATGAGCTATCTGCCGCCGAGGCACGCAGTCTTCGAGCGACTTCAACGCCATGCTGCGCGAGGCGGTCTTCAGTGGACTTGAAGGGCTGCATGACCGTGACCTTGAATCGTTTCGTTGTGGCGCGGCACGTTGCTGTCGTTCGCTTACACGTCTTCACAGCCGGGACGAGTGTCTGTTTGGTGTCCGCAGGCGGCGAAAGCGGCAGAAGCAACTATAGGGCCGGGGACCTGGCCCCGTTGTTACTAACATGACAACTGATAATGCATGGCATGGTTGCGCATCACCGATAGTCAAAGGCACCGCGCAAATCCGTCACATTGTTACTGGTGTCATTGCCACAACGTGAAACTTTTCATCACTGGAATAGCAGCAAGATGTGTAAAACAAGCAGTCATTACATTCACAGTGTAGGATGACAAAATAGTCGGTGGTAGTGTTGCTCAAGTTCTTGTAACATGCTACTCTGTTGTTAAAAGGTTGAAAGCTTCGCTGACATGGCCGCTAGCGTGCTTGTAGTTTTCAATATGTTGGAGCAGTACGGCAGCACACAGCAAAACAGCGGTGGTACAGGGCAGTTTCAGCTCTCGGAGGATGTCGCAGCCACCCAAGCCGAGCAGCCCACCAGCGGGCGTGCCGCTGCTCTGAGGCGAAGAGTAGTGTAGGCAGTGTAGGTTCTAGCCAGTGGCCAGCCTCAGACACACACCCTACTCGTACCCCACCCTGCGTGCTCGAAGAAAGAATACTTCAAGACAGTGCACCCCGGCTCTGAATGACGACATTGAAGCTCCAGTGCATCGGGTTAGAGTGATTTGCTTAATTTAGCCCGCTTTGCAAGAGTCTAAGATAGTCTTGTTAGCAAGCGAGCTTGAGCATGCAACCGGTGCACGCTTTAAAAGCAGTCGCGCTGCATGGCTTTTGTTCAGTGCTTTGAAGCCTCGCCTACATGGAGAGAAGTAACAGGGAGGCACTAGGCATAGGACATCGGAGTGAGACCACACATGTCTGTGGCGTTCGAAAGTGTATTCTCTGTCGCCACCAAGAGTGCTGTATGGCATGCCGACCGTCCGTGGGTCAAGCACTGGGCTCTGTCGGCTGCCTTCCAGCAGCAATCGTCTCCAAACCCGTCGTCGACATGCGGCTCGGCAAGCAGAACACCAGTAGCACCTGAGGGCCTCAGGCGTCTAATTCATGCCCCTGCCCCCGAGGTCCGCCATGACGATCCAGCCTCAGATGTGAATCTTCTCTGGTGCTTGGAGCGAGTATCTTCCGCACGGCATATCAGCAGGTCTAGTAGCTTCTCCGATTACCGGCCGGCAGTCGAGCGAAGGTCTGCCGCACAAAACTTGTCCTGCCTTCCAACTTGTGCCGATGCGCTGGGCTGAGCAATGAATGTCAGAGCTTCCACAGCAGCGAGGTAGTCTTGCGAGGGGTTCACACATACCGCTGTGCTTGAAGACCTGGTGTTACAGGTCCGCCACCACTGGGAGATTAAGGTGCCTCGAAGCGTGACTCTGCCACCTTTGAAAGCTT